TAATGGCCCTGCCTCCCAGTCAGTTCTCTGCCCCCACCAGGGTTCCATCCAGCGCCCAGCCGGGAATTCAGAAAATACCGGACATTGCACATGTCCAGTATTTTCTGAATTTTTCTACCAGACAGAAGGTGCAAATACCGGACTGTCCGGTAGAAAACTGGACATCTGAAAACCCTATCTGTGCTCCTTGCAACACTTTCACCTTTGAAGGGTAGCAATGCTAAATGGGGACAGCAAAAAACACTTCCCTGATACAAAAGGATCTGTTTATATACAAGCAAGTTATCTCCTGGGCACCTTCACTCTGATTCACAGTTGAACATTTTTGTGGCAAGTACAGCAATTGCTCAAGCAGCAATGTAATACTAGGAAAGTATTTAGCATTTTTCAGTGTAATTTAGCAGATGGAAACAAGGAGGGACAGTATCATGTGACCAGCCAGCTATCTGAAAACCACCCGCAAACATATCATAGAAGAATCCAAGTACCTACCCCATGGCATGTGCAATACACTGAAGTCTGAAGAACGTTACACTTTCATTTAAATTGCAGTAAAATCCTAAGTGTGTTAAGTATTATCAACCCAAACACAAATGCAGACCAGACCTATACTTAAAAAAGAAAAGTTCACCAGTAGAGCAATATGTGCAAATCCTCCTAGTGTGGACACAGTTTTTTAGGCAAAAAAAGTGCTTTTGACAGCACAGCTTACACCAGTTTGGAAAGTGAAATGCATTATACTAAAAAAGCACTTTTATGCCTATATGACTGCACTAAACTAGGGTTTTAGCCAGCATAAGCATGCCACAAAAAGTCACATCCTTAAACAGTGTTAGAATACTACCACAAGTTTGTAATACAGGCAGTCCCCGGGTTACGTACAAGATAGGGACTGTAGGTTTGTTCTTAAGTTGAATCTGTATGTAAGTCGGAACTGGCGTCAACCGCTGCTGAAACTGATCAGTTTCAACCGCGGCTGAATCTGGATGCAAGTTCTGACTTACATACAGATTCAACTTAAGAACCCCAGGCGTCCCCAAGTGAGCTGCTCCTGAAACTGATCAGCACCTGATTCCAGGAAGCCTGGGGCAGAGCAACTCTGCCTCGGGCTTCCTGTAGTCAGCGCTGGG